AATTGATGATTTCTATTTCTCATAATACTTTCATATATATATATATATATATATATATATATATATATATATATATATATATATATATATATACATACAATTAACCTTTTATTATACTAATTTATCAAATAGTAATTATTTAGACTAGAAGAATTTTAGTATAATCCACATAAAACTTTAAGACAAATAAAGAATCATTATTTCTTTATATGTAAAAATAATACTTTGATCACTAAGAAACTAACATATGCCATATTTATCCGTAATTATTAAACACCTAATATATCTAAATTATAAACTTTTCTCATTTATAACAAAATTTTAGAATAATAAATAAAATACTCACTTTACATAGAAATAAATTTTATATTTGTTCATAATTTTACATGAGATTAATTTGATTATATTTATTTAAAAATTGACAACTAATAAATAGGATATTTTTTCCCATATAAATAAATTTTATTATTTTTGATACTTAATATGCCACCTAATTAAGTATATATAAAATGTGAATTCAATATTTTGATATGAAATATTTTAGAAAATTAAATTATTGAAGAGAAACATATGTTCTTATGATATACTCCGTATTTTTTTCTAATTCAATATAGTATTTTTTTGGTTCTTGATTTGTTGTAAAACTTTTAATTCATTAAATAATATTTTTTTGACATCTAATAATTTTAACCCATGTTTTTGTTTATGACATATTTATATGAAATTAGATTTGATTCTATTTATTTTAATATTGATGTTAAATTAAAACCAAAGAATATATTTTAAAAACTACATTAAGAAATTCTAAAAAAAGATATAACTTATCTATAAATTTTTTTAAATAGAAAAGGCTTTTAAATAATAAATAAGTATTATCTTCACCCATAAATTAATTTTATATTCGTAATTTCTTGTGATATGCTTAAACAAAGCCAATTTCATTATATTAATTTAAATATTCACACCTATTTAAATAAAATATTTTCCTCACCTATAAAGAAATTTCATATTTTTCTAACACATAATATGCTACCTAATTTAGGACATATAAAACGTAAAATTAGTGTTTTAATATAAATATTTGAAAAAATTAATTATGGACGAGGAATATTCATTTTATGAGAAAATGCTTTCCTAATTCAATGCTTTCTATTATCTTCATTTATACTAAAATTTTCAGTTAAAGAATTAGATGCTATTTTTCCTTTAAATGAATGCTAGACGAGTGTTTCTTATGATATGTTATAATGAAGTTAGTTTTGATTCTATTAATTGCAGTATTGATGAAAAACAAAAAAATATACGTTAAAAACTAAATTAAAATATTTATTAAACAAGAGATAACTAGACTATAGTTGCTTCTAAAATAGGAAAATAGTATACATAATTCCATAGTTTGAATTAATTGATTTTATGATTTGATTTTATTACTAGAAAATTTATGATTTATTGCTCTTAGATAATTTATGATTTAAATTTAAAAGATATATTAGTTTTAATTATTTATTATGATATAATATTTGAAATTGTATTATAGAACACATTCAAAAAATGTACGTGTCAACATGACATAATATACTATATTTACACTAATTTTCTTTATTATTTTAACATTATTGAGTAAATTTAATTATAGAATACATTATAGAGATCATCGCTTTGATTAGAATATAAAAGGATTTTTTTAATTTTATATTTCTTCCACTTCATGTATAAAAAACCATCGAAGAATGAAAAAGATTTCCTTCGTTATAAAAAGATACTTTCTTAATCTTCAAAATTCATATTTATTTATGACAAGCTTAAGTGAAGTTAGTTTTTAAATATATTATTTTAAATCATCTATTACGATATGATATTTCTAATAACATTTTCTAACCCGGTAGGAGTCCACCAAAATCGGTGTGGTAAAGCCAGGAAACACTTACCTAAATTTTTTAGAAAAACAAATAAATACACATCTAGGGAGGACAAGACTGAAGCTTCAGATATTTTTAAATACATTATACAATACAATTGCCTATTATGATATGATATATGTAATTACATTATGGAATATAATTGTTTCAAAAAATGTGTCACCATGACATACTGTATTTATACTAACATTCTATATGATTTCAATATTATTGAGGAAAATAAAATATTTTTCTAATTTTATTTTCTTCACTTTATTTAAAATAAAACTATCAATGAATAAATAAGATTTCCTCTCTTAAAAAAAATACTTTCTTAACCTCTAAGAAATTCATATTTGTTTGTGACAAACTTAAATGAAGTTAGTTTTTATTTTATTCATTTTCAATATTAATGTAAAATAAAATATAAAAATATATGTTAATCTCTACATCAAAACACAATTAAACAAAAAATAAATAGGCTAATTTTTAAAATGATCAAATATTTAAGTCAAAAAAATTAAAAAGGGATGATTTTACGTGCCTATATTATTTTACATCCAAAAAACTACAAAATCAAATGTTTTTTTTTTAAAATTTCTATTTGAATCATTGGATCACTATTGTTTTTCATACTCATTTTTTTGAATTAAGGCAGGGGAGTGGAATCATTAGATTTTTAATTTATTTTAACAATAATGTTTTTAATCATAGTAAATCTAATCTTTTATTTTTGAATCATACTAGAGAGAAGTATCATATTTTTAATCAATACGAGGAAGGATAATCATATTAATGCAAGAGAGACGAATAATATTTATTTTACTAATATAAATTAATGTGGTGATGCAGGGTAAAAGAATCATATTTTTTGAAAAACAAAACTGGTAATCAATTTTTTTTGATTAATACAGTGATGAATAATTATAGGATCACAATTTTTTAAATTAAACTAGGTAAAGGAAAATCATATTTTTAAAAAATTAATTTGAGAGAAGAGAATCATATCATAACGAGGAGATTGATCAATTTTTTTCAATAATCTAAACCAATGCGAGGATCATATATCTTGCCAATCAATGACGATTGTATAATAATTGAGTTTATAAACGAGAACAAATGTTTGTAAATCTCAAACGACAAAAGAATTTTAATTTGAAGAATGTTATACCCATTATGTTATCTGGGAACATCGATTAAACATCTGAATTGTGCAATTTATATTCTACAATCCGTTGTACCCAATTTTGGGTACAACCAGCCTTAAAACGAATCAACGAAACAGAGCAATCGTGTGGAAGGTCTGGATTGCCGCAATGACCCTAGGTGCGACACGGTGGAAGATCTGGATTGTATCAAGTCTGCAGGGAAGAGCGGCAACCCTAGGTGCGGACGAGATAGACGATTCAAACGCTATTCATCTGGAAGGAACTGATTAACCCTAGGTCCAACTATCATTGATGCCGACAACGATGAAGATGTCGATGAAGATGACGATGCTGATTGGAGTGATTTAAAGTAATGTAATTTTAATTAGACTATAAAATTATATTTCTAAATTTGAAGAGAATGAACGGTATGTTACTTGAGAATGAACATAACGTAATTTGAGAATGAGCACCACTTTGTTTCACAATTAATACTAAGTTATTCGTAAATGATTATTATATTTGTATTGTATAAATGTGTGAAAATGAGTATTTGGTTATTTCAGAACGAGTACTACGTTATTTCAAAATGAACGTTTGAATTTGTGTAAGAATGAGTATTACTCGAATATACCTTACTTCTGGTACAACCGGCCGAACCATATACCTTATCTCTGAATTGTATAATAGTACAAGGTTAAGCATTGAAACTTGTGAAAAATTATCTTCAATGCAATTGTAGTATTAGAAAAATTATGTTGTTCTCTTTACATGCACAACATAAATGAATTATATTCTGTATATCATTTCATACAGGATACTCTTGAAGTTTCAAAAAATATAATTTTTGAATAGTTTATGTTTCGTTATGACTTATGATTATATAAAAAGTTAATGTCAAACATTGGCATTAATAATATTATTTTTACCAAATTGGTATTCACTTACTGTTAGATTTATATTATTATTTCTTAAGTGAGAGTAAAAATAAATTTGAAATTATTAGTTTTACAAGTCTTTTGTAATCTTTATAACTTCACAAAAAAATATTGTATACCTCAACAGTTTTCAAAATATTCTACTTTAAATAAGACTTTGAAATGTTAATTTTTAAGTGTATATAGTAGAATTTTCACTAGCGAATTCTATATGTTTTGTGTTGTTTGATATTAGAAAAAAAATTTCACGATGAAAAATAACAAAAAAAATTGTTCCACCCCGTGCATGGCACAGGTCAAAATACTACTTGTAACATCTTATTGGTTAACCTAAGCCATCCTTGTACACCTTCATTATACATAATGGAATCTCGCTCCAAGAAACACTCATTAATATGAAGAGGCTTGAAAATGAAAAAATTATTATAATTTGGAATTTATATTCCCTCCATCTGCAATTTTTTGTTGTTGTGCAGTACGATGTTTAAATAAAATTATTTTTAATTCATTTTATATGAAACTTAGCGTGAAATTAAAAAATAAAAATTACTCCAAATATATTTAAAAATTACATTAAACGATCTACAATCACATTATTAATATACTATTTTATCAAATAGACAATAAAAATAGACAAAATGAATAAATTTTAATCACATGAATAATGAACGAGAAGATAATTTGTAGACAGATGGAGTATATTATTATACTAAATCATTTATCTGTTGTCATTTTAGTTTGTCTTTGTTTGTTGTTTGGTGGTACCCTCTTAGGTAGAAGTGTTCAAAAATATCAAATCCAAAAATTGTCCATGGTCCACGAAGATCCGATCCAAAAATGGATATCCCATCCTATATTTTGATTTTCGAATATTTTGGATCGAATAACCCCAAAAACCGGATCGGGCATGGAATCAAATTTGATTTTTTTGGATGTCCACTGATATCCAAAGTTAATATTTTAAGAATAATTATTAAATTATAAAAACCATAATTATCTCTTACATTTTCACTGAATACATGCTATTCAATATATTGCACATTTTCAATTAGCATTTTGTTCAATATGTTGTTTACCAAACATGACCGAGGTGATGCACAGAATTCTGTCTAAAAGAGCAAACAAATAAAAACAAACAAAAACCAGTTTAAGTCTTTCTACTGATTTGCAAACCAAACAAGTCTAAAAATGATTTCAAAAGCACAGTCTGAATGAAATCAGACTAAACAGGCAGTGAGCAAACTGCCATTAGAGAAACGAAAACACACTTTTGAACCCCAAGAAGGAGTTCACACATTCCTCCCTGTTTCTTCCCACCACTGCCGACGAAGAGCAAGGCCTTTCCAATAATCGTGGAGACAAGACATGCTTCCTTTTCATTTCTGAAGAGTCTCTCCGATCACCGTTTCCATTCTTCACCGGCAAGGTGCTCAATGCAACTGAAGGTTGCTTTCTCTCCACGGGCTCGGAACCCAAAATAATCATATCGTTTCCGAGTTCTCTTTTTGTAGCGGTGAAACCCTCAAAAGTGGAACTATTTCTATGATCAAACGAATTGCTAAAGCAGTTCTTCTGATTGGCCAAATTTAGCATGGGTTCAGTGACCTTCGACATCGGTGATCCAAGCATGTGTGTGAATGCTGATGTTTCAGCCCGGGCAACAGATTTCGAAGAATCGGGTTCATGGTGAAGTTTCCCTGGATAGATACACTCAGGCGTGAAACGATGCATGAATAGTGATAATGATGAGAAAAACGGACGTGCAATGCAAGTGGACAGCTAGAAACTTCACCTGTGAGATTTGTAGGGTTAGTGTCCTTGGAGAAGGTATGGCATTCTGAAGTTATTAGATCTTTGTCCGTGAACTTCTTTCCCAGTTGATGAGATCTGAGAGATTGAAGGGCCATGCTGTAACGTGCAACTTTGCTTGTTTCGTCGTCTAATACTTCTATTGGACAATTAATTGCAACCAGTCTCTCGCGAGTTCGTTTTCTAACACAAGCTAAGGTGGACTCTAAGGCAGAGTCACCCAAAACGGCTGATTCGGGCAGGTTTTTTGCCTTCTCGCGTATGTGATCAAATATGGTTCTTTCAGTGATAATCTTGCATTCATCATCTTCAATAGTTTGAACTTCATTGCAGGATAGAACTGATAAAGAGTCATTGCCTAAATGGTTAGGAGGAAAGTTATATGCGGCAATGTGCATAGGGCAGGAATTTACTCTATACCTTCCTCTGAGTCTTCATCTATAAGCTTGAAACTAGGCCTGGTTACGAAAAAATGGACGTTAGAAATTGAAGAGATCAAATACAGAGTATTCGCATTTTGTCGATTACTTAGATTCTTTTGTTGAAGAGTCATGGAGATGATGTCATACATATCTAAGCCACCATCAGATTCATCGTCTAGGACTAGGATGCATGGTTCCTTCAATTGACAGGGGGAGAGCTGCCTTGTTTTCAGTTTCATATTAATGTCCTGATCCATCTCCTTCATTAATGTTACCTTCTGGTGGACATCGACACCAACTGTACGGACAAGAAATTGAAATGCATCTGAAGAATGTCAAGTAATATATTTATAAATTCAAACAGGCATCATATCATTTAGTTGCAAGAGAAGTTACTGAGTTCGTCATATAACAGATCTGCTTTCACGGTCAGCTTCCCTTTCTGAGGGTTGGGCACTATAACCATTGCACTATATGGGCTGTCAAATACATGTGACAGTATGAGCTTATGAACTTGTGGCAGATAAGATGGAGATATCATGGGTTAACTAAAGCATATGCGTTACCTGGGAAAGTCATCCACTCTGTAGCAGGAAAAAAAAGAACACAAAAAGAAGGATTTTAGACATAGCTTAGCAGCTATGGAAGTTCTCTTGAAATCTAAGGTGTAGTTTGGTAAGACAATGAAATGTAATGCAATGTAAACGATGAATGCCCGAGCAAAGTAAATTTACAATACACATGCATTTGATTACATTGCATTACATTTGATTACGCCATACAAAACTACACCAAAGAAGATATTTGATTATGACACCTTACATGCTAGTACAACCTACTAAACTTCACCGAAAAGTAAAACTGAAAAGTCAAAAACAAAATACAAAAATAAGCTTGATAAAATAAATTCACAAAGTTAAATTGCATAAACTGTCACAGCAAAAGGTATTCCCGGCTGCTCGTTGTCGTTAAGAGTGCTCTTAAAGAAAGAATGAGGTAAAAGTGCATTTTCCACAGCACTCTTTCGTTTCTTCCAGATAAGTGTCAGATTTGAATGCTCAGGGTAAAAAGCATAGTGCAGCAAATCACGTTTTTTCCCCTTTCAAATGACACGAATCATCAACGGTTTACATGCCATATATCAATAAGATAATACTAGAAATCAGCTCTAAATTACCTTATCTTTTCATGAAATAGAATCAGGTTATCTTCTTCCATTGCAACTATCTGTGAGATAATTTCCAAAAAAAGACTGACATGTAAGATTATGATGCAGAAAATTAGACAGAAGACTACGTGTCACATGCAGAACATGTGAGAGTGAGCATGGATGACATACCAGATCAGCATAGTGTCTTTTAGTCATTTGTGCAGGTTGAGATATCCTTGTCAACGTTATGACTACCTTAGACTTGCCTTGCCTCTGGCTCTCAGTTTCCTCTGTTTTCAACTCTATCTTTGGAGGAAGTGATAATAATGCCCCTTTTATATGGTTTCCAAAGGGATATTTACGACCAGTAACCATCTCAATCTTTCTTGGATCAGCATCAGCAAGGTCCTCAAAAGATCTCACTCCCATCAAATTCAGTGCCTCAGGAATGATTTGAATAACACACAATCAGTATAAACTAAGTAATCTAACAGAAAAAAACACTGCAAACAATGGTATAAGCTGCAAACCTTTGCAGTAACCATTCCAATGCCTGGTAATTGTTTCAGCAAGAACGGACTGTCATCCCACAGTTTTTGATGCAAAGATTTGGTAAGAAGTGCTGAACTTAAAGCTCCTATGTAGTTTTTCTTGTATACAAAGTATTCTTTCATGCACTTTGAGATTCTGCTGCCATTTGTGCATATAGAATTGACGTCCTACAACATGGCACATTGTCTTTAAGTTAAAGGTTTATTGTCATCTGCTTAATCTCCCTCCTTCCCAAAATAAACTTCTCACTTTCCTTTTTTGGTTGTCCCAAAATAAAATTCCAATTCCTTTTAAAGAACAAAATGGGGGAACCACGACAATTCTCTCTCCTTTGCATCAATGTCAACCAAACAATTTCACTTTTTCTTAAACTCTGTGAAAAAACAAACGGGAAGATAAATTTGGGAGGGAGGGAGTATGTAAATATCCTTGAAAAAACAAAACCTGTGTCATTGATAACTCGTGAACTGAAGGATCCCCTGTTAGGCAGTCATTTGCTAAAATAAATATCTTCTCTTCTCTGGTTTGGATCCGCTTTTTCCTCTTCTTTTTGTCCCCAAGTATGTGAAACCTAAGCCGATTATTTTTGTCGGTGTTTATATCATTCAAAAGTTTTTTTTCGTTGCGCCGGAGCTGTATCCCTTTATATCACATAAAAAGAGATCCATCAATCACGTGTGTAGTAGTAATTACCCAAAGATAAGATATATCAAGAACGAGTAATACAAGCGATCTCCTCAGCATGACAAATAATTTGAAGTGCATCTTCTATGCTACAGTTTGCAGGTGCGCGCATAATGTGTTTCATTGTTTCAAATTTCAAGTAATATTTTGTCATCAATTTTGCAGGCTCTGCAAGTAACAGAAAAAAGAAATTAGACTTCTTTGAAATTTGAATAATGCACGAGATTGCATTTGAGTTCATTACCAAGAGGCTTTAAGAGGAAACCATCCTCATCAGTCCAGATCATTTGGTGCCGTGATAACTCATTCACCTTCTGAACACATATTTCTGTGAAGACAGGCAAAAAAATCATAAATCAGTAAGCGTAAAAGGTTCCTACAATTTGTACCATTGTAGCAAACAGTTACCTTGCAGATGCCTTTCTACATGCTCTCTGACTAGTTGTTTCTTTATTGCATAATTCTCAGGGTTCTGATTTTCAAATATAGAATATCAATCATCCAATCTGACATTTAAAAAATTAGCAACAAGTAACCTGGTCATAGAAGCTATGAGCGGAAGAGCTTGCCTTTTTCATTCTCACATACAAATATGAGCATTTCATCCATTCGATTGCCTTAGTAATATCCGATACTGTCAGTTGAACAATCTCTGCAGTTAAGTGCTCAGTAATGCACTGAAGCAATCTAAACACAACAAAAAGGTGCATAAAAACTTCATAATATGCCCCACCAGCTAAATATATAGTGTAAAACACATTGTAGGGAAATTAAGAATCGCATACTGTGATTCCACCATTTCACATCCACTCAGTAGGTTCTCATATAAATGTACCTAAAATGTTAGTATGAAATGCATTATTGAATACAAAATTTTAAAAAAAAGTCCAGATTAGATATTTGATTGTGTCATATACTCCTAGCAGAAAACAAGAGGGAACTCACGGTTTCTTTTCTGGTCATTATTATAACCAGTCCTGCATCGTCAAATTGTGGACGGCCTGCTCTTCCACACATCTGCAAAGATGGAGAAGGAATTATCCTTTTGGTTAGAAGCCACTAAGCAAGTTTTCATACAAGAATAAAGGGGTTTAGCATGTACAACAATAGAGAATGTCCATGATCAGCATGTTGGGGCTTACTAATGCTCAAATGTTGGATCAGTTGCATACCTGCATGATCATAGATCGGTCATATTCCATGTAAAGACGTTTTTCCTGGTTGCTTACAATAAGAAAAGGCGTGGATTAGGAAAGAAACAAAGTATAAAAGGTGTAACCAATATAATGAATATATTCTACACATACAAGTACTGTGTTGACTTTATTATAACTGTATGTGCCGGTAGGTTTATTCCTTGGGCAAGAGTGTTTGTGGTGCACAGAACTTGCAGATCGCCATTCAGAAAGAGGCCTTCGATAAGATTTCGATCCTTCATGGAAAGTGCACCATTGTGGTATCCAACTGCATAATATGTACAATGCCACTTACACATCACTCAAAGAAAGAGTAAAAAATGAAGCAGAATCAGAGCATGCGTGTTGGTCTGAGAAACAAAAAAAAGTTAGAACTTCATACCACCATATGGAATATAAGATTGCATATGTTTATCAGAACATGACAGTGAAGCTTCCCTCAATCTGTCTTGCTGCTCTCTGTTTTTTATGAAAGGATTTGAATGACCAAAAGTCATTGCTGTTTGTGTGAGCCGTTGTGCAGTTTCTTGTGCTCCTTTCCGTGTTGAGCAGAAGACCAGTGAAGATTTTCCTCTTGAATGTAGCATGAGGATGTCTGCAAACAAATTCCTTTATTTAGATAGCAACTAATAAAAACAAGTTGAGCACCAAACAGATACATAGATGTCAAAGTCAAAAATAAGTATAGCATTTTGTGCTTACCGAATATGTAGTTCTGAAGGCGCTGGAGAATTAAGTGCAATATAATCAGTAAACTAGAAATAATATGGGATGGTAGAATCAGATTAAATATCAATATACTACGTATATATCTAATTATCTTTATTTTACTAATACAAGCATGTTGGGAAGGGGAATTCACAAGTTCAGTCTATGAGATGGGCAGTGGAACAAAAAAGAGTCAAATGGCGAATACTCACAGGGACAAACCTTTTCAAATAGAAAGTCATTCTTTGCAGGAGTGTAGCCTAGAAAAAGAATAACAATCAAATAAAAGATGCATTGTGAGAAAGAAAGAAGCTCACAACACAGTGATCATATTTCCGAGTTTTTGTGCACCTAAAACTTTGGTTGTCAACTTCACTGGTCTCATTTCTTCACCAAACCTGACAGAATAATGCACAGCACAAATGACCAATTAGGTTGTTTCTGCAATCTAACAACAAATATACCCATCATGTGGTAAAAGCTACTTTACTTTTTAATTCCTTGATGAGGAACCATAAGCCACTCCGCTGCAAAAAAAAAAAATTATTACTATAAGTGTTTGTTTCATTAGCTATCCTAAAATCACTCAGATTTTGAATTACAGGCTCATAAAAATAGCAATACTCATAAAAATTATAGTTACCGAGGTCATTAATATTTGGGATTGTAGCCGAGACGGCTAGAAAACGAACATGGGATAGAGGACTGGTTTTCATTTCGGGATTGCAAGAAAGAATTTTGATTCGGCTAACTACAGCCTCCAAAGCTGCTCCACGAGGATCATTCAACAAATGAACTTCATCAATAAGTACCAGAGCAATGTCACTGAAAAAGCTCAGGCCTCCATCTTTAATGCGATATCGAGTCACAGCATCAAACTTCTGGATAGATCACAATGCGTTTATTGATGAGTATAGATCACGATAGTCATAAAGCAATCAAAGCATAAATGATAAATGAAATGTCAACAGCATTTGACCTCAGGAGTTGTAAGAATTATGTCAGCATCCACAATATCCTTATTGTTGTAGTACTCGTTATCCCCTGTAAGCTCTAGGCAAATTATTCCCCATGAACCAAACTTTTGGTTCCAATCCCTCAGTTTCTCTTGCACCAGAGCTTTGGAAGGTGCAATATAGATCTTTACATCACAAGAAAGAAGACAAAAACACTGAAGTGATATGATGTTTCAAGGAAGGGGCAGTGTACTAAAACAGATAACTGCAATGATGTCTGCACCTAAACCAGACAGGATACTAGGAGCACAACTAAGTTAAATCAAAGTACTAGTTGGGGTGAAAAACATGGTTTTTGGAAAAGTAAGAATAATAAAACAAAAGACTTTGAAGTTTGAACTGAGTCGATTTATGTAACTTACAGTCTTCAGAGACCCCTTGGCATGTACAAATACACCCTCAGTGGATATGAATCTTGAGAGAAGCCTCAAAATGCATAGTTCAAAAAGTACTGTTTTCCCACTTCCGGTAGGTGCAGAAATAACCATGTTCACGTCCGAAAGGTAGCAAACAGGAAAGCATTCACTCTGCAAGGAGTTAAAATACCTGCACATCATCAACACCATCATCATTGTCAGCACCTTAATTTCAACTAGTTGCTTCAGTGGCATTAAATTTACAGTGGTAAAAAGTTTATAGTGCCATATAAGTTCAACACAAAAGCATAGCAGCAATGTTTTATGCTGGGTGCCCTTCCTGTTGCAACCTTCAAGAGGAAAAATAAAGCAGTTTTTATATTGCTTTTTTGCTAGGAAACATGTATGTATAGCTCAATATCTCCTATAGAGTTGGGAGATCCAGTTGGGAAACTCATGATTTAGTTAACAGTAAAGTGGTAGATATTTCATTTATAACAGTATACAAAACTAGCAAATAGAGATAAGTTAGAAAATCGAAAATCAATACGCCCCTCCCTCTCCTCCAAAATCCCCCAACCATTTTTAAATATAGAAATCGGCAAAAACACAAATAGATTACTCTCGTGGAGCAAAAATAGTTTGAATTCACAACTATCCCTGCTGCCGTGCTCATTGAAAAACTGTGAATACAAACCCTAGCTCTAAAATAGATGAAATGGTTTGGTGAATTCAGGACACGCGCAGAGTGGAGGACATATTAACAGATTCTCAAACATGAATCGTTCTGAAAAGAGATATTAGCGTGAAGCAACGGCATACACAATAAACCGACCAATTCCAACTTACCTGAAACTGAAAACTGAGCGAAATAGATCAGGCAAGTCAAGCACGGACTTCAGCGAATAAGCATCCATTGCACCGACTATTTATACATCCACTCAAAACTCCAGATGTTCCCTGGATCGGCCTCTATTCACACTGCAAAGCAAATATACATAGGAAATTGATGAGATTTTCTGAGAAAATTAGTCTAGTAAATGCGATATTTACAGAATTGACCAAATCAATCGGCCGCTGAATCACCTGCGGCAGTTCACGAAGGCTGAGATTTTGCGACTGAAGATGCCAAGGGAGAAAACAACTTCAGAGCTAGATTCCGGTGAATAGGATTATGCCGGCGATGGTGCCTGGGAAATGTGCTTCAGAGGATTGATTAGATCATTGAAATTTGAAAGGAGAAGTTTGTGAGCTTTCAAAAAAATCATTCATGTTCTTCTCACTTCTTCATTTGAACAGCTAATAAATCGTCTATGCTGGTTCGGCCGTTACTTTGGCGGGCAACGGGAAAAATTGTATAAGACTAAGGGACTGTTTGTTTCAACCTCTTAATGGTTCAGATGTTTGAATGATTCAGCACTTAATGGTTCAGACTGTTTGTTTCAGCCTCTTAATGGTTCAGATGTCTGAATGGTTAAGAGATTTGCCTCTGAATCGTTAAGTATTATACAGAGTCTGAATGGTTAAGAACTCTTATCTGAATTGATCAGACATTTGCCTCTGAATAGTTAAACAATATACTAGCTCTTAATGGTTCAGACCTCTTACTGGTTCAGCACTTANAGAGAAATGAAAGTGGCCCACAAAAATTGGCAAATTTATTATTTATGAATATAAATTTTTGTTTTTTGATTATTTAAAATTATTTTAGTTTCTTAATAAGGTTCACAAATATTAAATTTGTAAATTATGTGATCATTTTGTTTGCAAAATGTAACCTCTCTCCTTAGGTATGTGCTAGTTTGCAATAAGACGACGGTGTTCTCTTCGTCTATCACATTGAATCTAATTTACATTTTTAAAAATTTGATACTAATTTAAATAGAATAATCTGATTGAAATTAGTGTTATTGTTGTTGTTCTTATTATCATCATCATCATCATCATCATCATCATCAGTGCACTACAACCAAAAAAAGTAAATCGACTACCTCATTTGCATAGTTTCACTGAAAACCGATGCAAATGAGGCTTTACTTTTTGCCAACCAATTTCGTTTGCATTTGTTATTAGTAATAACTAATGCAATAGCCATTTGAATCGGTTATTACTAATAATCGATGCAAAAGGTTTTCACCAACCAGTTATCTTTCGATTCAAATGGCTACTGCATCGGTTTATACTAATAACCAATGCAAAAGAGTGAATTAAAATTAATCAGTCGGGATGCGATCTCATTTGTCACCCTCCTCGTTGCCATCTTCCTCCTACCGTCCTTACCCTCGCCATTTTCCACCCATGCCATCACTTGGAACTCGTCCTCCCACTACAAGAGTTAGTTCAATTTGCGACGGAAAAATTGCGACAGAATCCGTCGGTCGCTGATTGCGACAGAAATTGTGACGGAAGTTACATTATTTTAAAATACCATGAAATCTTTAACACATTACTTAATTCTGTCGTAATTTGCGACAGATATTTGTTTCTGTCGTAGAAAAGTTGACGGTCAAATTTTAATTCATAAGCATGCGACGAGTTTTATTCCGTCGCAAACAATTAATGAAATCTTATCCGTGTCTCAGACGCGTTCATTCTGCAATCCGAACGCGTTCATTCTGCAAACTCGAACCGTCGCTGGAGCATACTGAGACCTCTGCCGCGCTGTGAAGTTATTGCTATCTGCCGACCTTCGAGCGTCGTCCACTGTCCACCACCCGCCCAACCCCAAATTTGCTCCATATTTCAAGGCACAACCCTAATTATTTTTTTTCCCTTAATTGAAGTGTGAAATTTACCTTAACAATTTTTTCTTGTGATTCGATAATAAGGATGATTTGATGTACTATAATTTATTAAAAACAATTGTTTTTAAAGTTTGTTTTATTTTTGCTATTTTTTGTTAAATTTGATAGTTAACGTAGATTGAATTGATTCTAGGAAATTTATCATATGTGTTTTTATTTGATGTGCTATTTTTTGTTAATAAATACTTTCTCCATTCTCAAAAAGAGTTCCTAGTTTGACTAAGTGTAAAAATAAGGAAATGTTAAATTGTAGTTGACTTCCAATTTTACCCTTGATGTGATGGGTAAAAATAAGATGTGATGAATAGATTATTAGAGAAAATGTATGATGTGATAGGTAGGGTACGAAAAAGTAAGGGTAAAAGTGATTTTTTAATAGAAAGTGATAGTGTTTTATTGGAAGTGGAAAAAATGAAAGAGGAAGTATTTTTTAGAACGGAGGGAGTATATGCTTAGCGTAGGAAATTTTGATTTGATTCTAGGAAGTTTTATTTCATATTATTTTAGGAAATTTTTATATGATTCTAGCTAGGAAATCTGATATGAATCTAGGAATTTTTTTATATGATTCTAGGAAACTTGTATTTGATATGATTCGAGGAAATTTTAATTTTTTTAAAGTTTTTGTTATAAGATTTTTTCAACTTATCTTAAAATTTTTGTTATTGTAAGTGGCAATTTTTTGTATTCTTTAACTTGTGGATTAATTTGAATTGTTGATATGTTATTTGCATTGTTCAATTTGTGATTCTTTTGTATTAAACAATGTTGAATTTTTGCTGCAATATCTGGATTTGGTGATCGTGATTAGTAAAGGATGGGTTGACAATGTCATGAAGTATGTGAATATTTTTTTTGTCGAATCTCAATGTTGATCGGTCTAAGAATAACATGTGTTGCCCTTGTAAGTCATGTAAGAATTTAAAGTTTGGAAGTAATGCAACCATAATAGAGCTTAAATTATTATGATTGGGTTTGTCACGGTGAAAAGCACGGAAACTATGTTCCCCCGAAACGACGACGAGTTGAACGACAGGAGGATACAACACATGTGACAAGATTCACATGAAGAAACCAATATATTGATATGGTGTACGATGATGCACACCCTTTTGTCGCAAACTTAAATGCTGAGGAAGAACCAAATTCGGAAGATAAAAAGTTTTTTGATATGTTAAAAGCTGCTGATAAGGATTTGTGGTCAGGGTACTCTAAGATGTCACAATTATCAGCAACTGCACACCTACTCAACATTAAATCTAAACATAATCTCTCAGAGAGGTGTTACGATACAATTTGTCAGTTATTTAAAGATGCTCTTCTAGAGGAAAATACAATGGTTGAAAGCTTTTACCAAACAATTAAGCTAATAGATGGGTTGGGCCTTCCCGTTCAGAAAATACATTATTGCATTCTTGGTTTCATGTTTATTTGGGAAGATGATGAAAGTATCACAAAGGTTTGCAAGAAGCCACGGAATAAATATGAGAAGGCTAAAGTCCCACATAGATAGATGTTATACTTTCCCTTAACACCGCAATTGAAACATTTATATACATCAGAGCGCACCGCCGGGTTAATGCGCTGGCATGCTGAACATCAGCACTCGAACATAGATGAAATGTGTCACCCTTGTGATTCTGAAGCATGGAAAGTATTTGACGAAAAGCATCCTTCTTTTGCTTCAGAAGTTCGCAATGTTTGTTTGGTTTTGTGCACTAATGGGTTTCACCCATTTGGACAATCAGGATCTGAATACTCTGGTTGGCCAGTTATGATCACCCCATACAATCTTCCTCCAAATATTTACATGAAAGAGGAACATATATTCCTCTCATTAGTTGTTCCAAGTAGGTTTAATCCGAAGCAAAAGATTGATGTATACTTGCAGCCGCTGAATACAGAATTAAAAGCGCTCTAATGTTAAGGTGTGGATACATTTGATGTGTTAGTAAAACAAAATTTTAGAATGTGCGCTGCTTTGATGTGGACAATTGGTGATCTTCCTGTGTATGCAATAATGTCTAGTTGGAGCACATCAAGAAAAAAAGCATGTCCTATTTGGGTAATATTTGTGGATGTTAGTCCCATGACTCATCCATCTCGGCCTAACTCTAACATTAAGGTGTAAAAATAAATTTTGTTTCTCCCACATAGTATTCATATTTTTATATCAGAATAGTTACTCTCTTTTGGAGTAACAGAAAGTAACATTTCTCCCTACTTTGCTCCCCCAAATATATGAAATATCACCCGGTTCTATATTGTAACCCATATTAGTTTTGTAGGATAATGGTATTAGAAATATTAGAATGAATTCACAGCATAATTTTCATCTTATTCTATTCATCATCAAAATTATGAGTATAAATATTACAAAGTAAATAATCAAGACAATCAAGGAAGGTAAGTGGAAGATAATCAAATATCTTTGATTGGTAATTTGATTCCAATCAAGGATATTATCCTAGTCATCAATAATATTCCTTTGTTTGACACTATTCATTTGTTTGACATTTCTAACACTCCCCCTCAAGTTGAATCATCTGTTTCGGATGTTTAACTTGCTTAATGTTGCTTGAAATACTCCAGCTGGTACTGCTTTTGTGAGAATGTCTGCCAATTGATCTTCAGATCGGACATATGGAAGACTGATGATATCTGCCTCGAGTTTTTCTTTGATAAAGTGACGATCAATCTCGATGTTCTTGGTACGATCATGTTGTACTGGATTCTCTGATATACGAATAGCAGCGGTATTATCGCACATCAGTCTACATTTACCCTTCGGCGGATACCCCAAATCTTTAAGGAGTTTTCTTAGCCAAAGAACTTCAGTAATTCCTCGAGCGATCCCTCTGAATTCTGCTTCTGCACTTGATAGAGCAACTACCTTTTGTTTCTTGCTTTTCCATGTGACCAAATTACCTCCAACAANTCACAAATATTAAATTTGTAAATTATGTGATCATTTTGTTTGCAAAATGTAACCTCTCTCCTTAGGTATGTGCTAGTTTGCAATAAGACGACGGTGTTCTCTTCGTCTATCACATTGAATCTAATTTACATTTTTAAAAATTTGATACTAATTTAAATAGAATAATCTGATTGAAATTAGTGTTATTGTTGTTGTTCTTATTATCATCATCATCATCATCATCATCATCAGTGCACTACAACCAAAAAAAGTAAATCGACTACCTCATTTGCATAGTTTCACTGAAAACCGATGCAAATGAGGCTTTACTTTTTGCCAACCAATTTCGTTTGCATTTGTTATTAGTAATAACTAATGCAATAGCCATTTGAATCGGTTATTACTAATAATCGATGCAAAATTGGCAAATTTATCATTTATGAATATTGATTATTTAAAATTAT